TGCAGTCTGTGATCATCTGAATGCCTTTCCACATCCTCCTGGTGTTGTTTGGATCTTGGGAAAGATCCTGGATCTTCTGGCTGTGGTTCTGCTTCGCTGATCTGATGGTTTAAGTTTCCTCTCGCTGTTCTTAGTGCCTCTTTATCACCAGACTTGAAAGCTGAATTCGTTGCTTTTCGCGATTTCTGAACCTCTCCATTTATCCAGGGTGGCTGGTTGGCCCTGGTGGTGATGTTCTATTTGATGCTGATGTCCTCAATGCATTTGTTGATGTAGGCTGACACAGTCATGGCATATTCATCAATATTTAATAAGTTGTCATATGTTGCTGCAGCCTTGAAGATGTTCCAGTCAGAGCATTCAAACAGTCTTGGAGTGTTTCCATGGCGCCCTCAGACCACACTCTGACCTCTTTAACTGTCGGTTTAGCCCTGATCAGCTGGGGCTTATATGCAGGGATAAGCATGACAGATAGGTGATCTGATGACCCGAGGTGGGGGCGGGGGGCTGCTCTGAATGCATCTCTGATGTCAGAGTAAACCAGATCTAAAGTGTTTTCACCCCGAGTTGCAAAGTCCACATGTTGGTAGAGATGAGGGAGAATCCCTACAGGTGTTTGGTTCCAGGTACTCAGAGATTCACTTCCATACAGAAAGCCCATATTCTGATCTTCAGGTACCATAATAATAATTCAACTTTATCGTCTTTCCACAGTCACAAGTACAGAACAACAAAATGAATTCTCTGTATTTAACCCATCCCCATGGGGAGCAGTGGGCTGCCAGTGTGCGGCGCCAGGGGAGCAGTGTGGGGTTAAGGGTCTTGTTCAGGGAGCCAGAGTGGCAGTCTGTGGGAGTGGGGGATCAAACTCACAACCTCAGGATTCAAAGCCATATGCCCTAACCACTAGACCGCCGTTCTCCACATAGAGTACATGTCAGATTAAATAATACTACTTATACTTCAGCAATAGAATCAAGGTGTTACTTTACTGTATCTCTTATTCTATATCCATTGGTTGTTCTGTTCTTTTTCCATGTCTTTGCAGGTAATTAAGCAGACTGAAAATGTTTTATCATTTCTTCATCTTTTCTCCTGTTTTTCCTTTCCTGTTCTAAATAGTAAATGTCCTGTACTTATGTAGCGCCTTTATTCAAGTGAGGAGACTTGACCAAAGCGCTTTACTCTACATTCATTCACCCATTCACTCACACACTGATGGTGGTGAGCCACAGCTGCCCAAGACAGAATGGTTCATGAACGTCTATCTGTTCATCTTTAACAGACGAATGGTAAATGGCCCCTACATTTACTCAACTAACAACACCTGATGAATTAAATCTATTATTCCAAACAGGAGGAACCCGTGAGATGAACAGGTTCTATAAATTAGAAAGTTTTTATTGTTCATTTTCACCGGCTGCAAAAAGATTTCTGCCAAATAGATTAATTGATCTACTACATTTAGAGAAAAATGTTATTATGGTCATAACCTCTATGGCAAGCCATTTTGATATGTATTAGTTTTACTGAATCTGTATTCCTGATATCTGGAATAAATATATATTTTTTAAAATTATCATTTCAAACAAAATGACACTCTCCACATCTGGAATAAACATTCTGGATGTCTAGAAATTAATAGCAGATCTCCATATTCCTATTGTTACTGCTTAGCATTTGTATTTTTTTGACTTAAAAAAAATTTCTGATATCATAAATATTCAGTCAAGCTGATAAATGTCAGAACAGCCACTCATAATGTGTAAACATTTCTAATATAAAACTTAATTCTTACTAGTATAATTATTTTTAATATCTGAAATTCAGTTTCTGCTGTAAAAATGGAATTTAGAAAACCTTTTACAGTTCAGTCTAGGAGTGAGATTTTGATCAGGAAGAATCTTATTTTTAGTGATCTACCAATGGAAGAACAGAGAGGAGAGTTCTTTTAATAAATGTAAAAATGTTATTTCTAGCATTTAGCAATGAGTGGGAGGAAAAGTTCTGTGATGATATTAATGTCCAGTAGTTTGTTTCAGTTAAAATGTGTTTCCACACAATCTTCCATGAACTTGGGTGAATAACTCTGTCCATAGATCTTCTCAGACCCATTTTATTCCGTACCTTATCTGGATGTTTTCTACCTGTGCTGTCTGAGATGCTGCTGTGTGTGTTTACATGCTGGTGTAACCGTGTACGCCATCATTTTCTGCACCACAGTTTCATTCATGACCCAGAAAGGATCAGGAGAGAGGCGGGGGACCCGGCACAGGTCGCCAGTCTCCTGCAGTATAATACCATCTGCTGTTGCCGCCCCAGAAAGAGTTCCTGCCCCCTCTTTACCAGCCCATTAATATTTTCTAGATCCCCCGCTGGCGTAAACAATATGAACCTGTCTTCCAGGTCTGCTAGCACAGGGAAAACCCTTGGATATAAAATGAGGCAGAGATGATTTCAGATGCAGGATAGATGTTTATTTAAAGAGAAAATCAGAACAGAGTGATCAAAGAAAAGTCAACAACTTTGTTTAACTTATTCTAACATCCAACTTAAAACCTCAGAAATCAAAGAGCTAAAGGATTATGTCATTCCAAACAGAAATACCCCATCACCAAACTAAAATCCCCTACTGAGCATGCTCAGCTTTGTTACCATGGTGACCCTCATTGATAGAAGCACAGGTACTCTCTCACTCCTTCATTGCCTTCGTTAAGATCCACATCCACCACCTGGACCCCGGCAATTTCATAGGGATCCTTACCAATCTCCTTGATAATCAGAGAGATGGTTTGGATGGCCTTGCTTTGGTGATCTTTGATGTAGTAGAGGTACATTTGGGTACCAGCATTGCCCCGGTTGAGGTTCTGATCCACCGCAATATAATCTCCTGGAGGATGTTTGTTACCTTTACAGATCTGTAGGTCTGTGATGGCATGGTTTTCATCTGTGGTCAGACGGTACCAGAGGAAAATACTGGGCCCCCCACTACCCCTGTTGATGTCCTCATCCAGACGGATGTAGCCATCTTTGAACTTCGAATTCTCATCTTCGAAGTCAACAGTGGTGATGATGTCACTGACGAAGGTTGGTTCAGCTCTCTGTACCCACAGGTAGATCCTGCAGCCTCCGTTTCTTCGATTCAAGTTACAGGCGAGCTTCTCCCACCCAAAACGAAAGAGTTGGGCTTCATCTTCTCTTTCAGTGGAGAGGAAAAGATCTTTGATTGGAATATCATGGTTAGTGGAACCCTTAAGGTACCACAGGTAAATTTCATCTCCACCTGCTCCTTGGTTCAGATTCTTGTAAACTTTCTGGTACCCTGCATCCTTTAGGCCTTTGCACATTTCATCATTAAATGAGGCCTGAATCCTGGTGATTCCGTTGTCATCGCCCTTCTTGTACCAGAGGAAGTTTTTTGCTCCGGTGGATTCTTTGTTCAGATTTACAGGGTTTTGGATGTAGCCCTCTGAAAGGAATTGTTTCTCCTCGTCTTGATTGACAGAAACCACGATTTCAGTGATGTAAGACATGTTGACTTCCTGCAACAGAAAAGCATCAAATGTTGATCAGAGATGGACTTCAATGTGAATCAACCAGTTAGGAATCCCTACATTATGCAGCTGAATTAGGGCCAAAAAGTCTGTTTGAAAACCTTTATTTTGAAACAGAAAAATATTTGAATGAATAAATGAAAAACCTTATTTTAGAAGGAACAATAAAAAAATCTAATTTGACTAAATTGATAAATGATGTATAATTGTACGTGTAGTTTTGTGTGAAAAGGGGAATGAAGCTTATTTTATTCCTCCTGTAATCTTTAAACACCAGCAATATTCTTCAATCCTATGAACTTATTGGTCCTTGCTTCTCCAACAGTCCGTTAAGGAAGCAAATAAACGAGTTTATGTAGATATTAACATATTCACACATCTTTAATTATACAATGCTCATTTAAAGCCCCCATGAAAAATAACAACCACGGAGAAATCTGTATCCACCCATCTGCAGTGACTGGAAGAACCCAGTGATGTTCAACGACCTTTTTCTCTCTCTGATCTGTCTGAGAGAAAACGCTTAATGCTTGGACTTTGCTTTAATCCAGGAATTTTACACCATCTGATGATAGTTTTCATGTCTGGGAAAAAATGTTGGACATTTCCCATCTTCTCAAAGCGGAAGAATTTCAAACTGACTGAAAACACTCAGCAAATTGATCAAAATCAGAGTTTGTCAGATGCGATGAGTGCAGCCCTGATCAGATCAGTTAGTTTTCTAAATAAACATAGATGTAGATGATCTTCTACAGAAAGTCACTATGGTTCCTGAATGTAACCCCTGGGAACAAATAAGCTGTCAGTCATCATCCCACACCCCATGTCATTTCAGCCCCCATACCCGCCCCAAAAACCACACATCTGAAACTCAAAAAGAATTTATGTTTTTTCAGTTTCAACATTATTTTTGTCATTTTTATTCTTTAATTTTTGATATTTAATAACATCAAACATGGTCCCAGTTTAGCTCCACACTAAACCACCAGTCAAAGGTCAGCATGTGTCTTCTAGACATTGTTATTCTGAAGACAGAATGGTTCCTGAACCTCTATCTGTTCATCTTTAACAGACGAATGGTAAATGGCCCCTACTTCTAACGTGCTTCAACAGGTCAGGCCTGACCATCGGTCTGGGTGGGCTGTCTTGGCCAACTCTCCTGCATCTGAAGCCACCATCACCACAAGCTTCAGCAGAGGAGAGGAAGTCAGGCTCTCCTCTGTCTCCTTCCTGATTCTGACCCAAACCTCCAAGCAACTGGAATCAAATGTAACCTGAAGCTGTGATGCTGAAGCTGAGCTGCCTAAAGACGCTGTAACCTCATGAAATCAGACCCAATCAGGATGATGGAGACTTACGTGTCTGCAGGCAGAGGTCGGCTGGCTGAGGTCTGCTGGAGGTCTGAAGGCTGCTGTTCCTGAGCTGCTCTCCTGCTCTTTATACACCTGCTGGGAGCTGGGCTGTGGTGGGAAAGCTCCACCTCTCAGGAGAGGCTTTCTCTGGAAACACCCCCCCCCGTTCCACAGAAGCTCGTCTTTTTCATCGTCCCAACGGAAGGTTGGGCTGCTGGCAGCTTTCTCAGGAAGCCAGAGATCTGGCAGGTAGGAGTCCTTTGATTGGGGGGGACAGATGGGCGGCTCCACTTCTTTGGAAAGCAGAAAGATTTCTTCACTGATTCGGTCGTTGTCTTTGTCGCCACTCGGCTGCGTTATTGAAGCGCTCTGAACTCTGCTGGAAAAAGCACCCCAATGACCAACCCGAATTACAACAACCAGCAGAGGAAACTACGACCAACAAACAAACACACCAACAGATGCAACTATGGGTTAACAGCAACAAGCAACTCAGGTAAAAGCTACGAAGAGAAGAAACAACAACAGGAAGCCCTAAAAACGCCAAAAAGGAGAACAAGCGACACACAAGAAATGGCAAAGCCAACCAGGAAACAGCAAAAACACGGTCACACCCTAAAGAAAAGAAAGCTACAAGCTCAGATAAAACCAAAACGAACAACAACCCAGGCCAGCGACCAAAAAACACCGAAAGCGATTCAAAAACACATGAAAGCAAAAGACGAGAAGAACCACAATCAGGAAAGTAAAGATAAACAAAAAACAACTGTGGACACCAGAGTTCAGAGCGCTTCAATAACGCAGCCGAGTGGCGACAAAGACAACGACCGAATCAGTGAAGAAATCTTTCTGCTTTCCAAAGAAGTGGAGCCGCCCATCTGTCCCCCCCAATCAAAGGACTCCTACCTGCCAGATCTCTGGCTTCCTGAGAAAGCTGCCAGCAGCCCAACCTTCCGTTGGGACGAGGGGGGGGGGGTGTTTCCAGAGAAAGCCTCTCCTGAGAGGTGGAGCTTTCCCACCACAGCCCAGCTCCCAGCAGGTGTATAAAGAGCAGGAGAGCAGCTCAGGAACAGCAGCCTTCAGACCTCCAGCAGACCTCAGCCAGCCGACCTCTGCCTGCAGACACGTAAGTCTCCATCATCCTGATTGGGTCTGATTTCATGAGGTTACAGCGTCTTTAGGCAGCTCAGCTTCAGCATCACAGCTTCAGGTTACATTTGATTCCAGTTGCTTGGAGGTTTGGGTCAGAATCAGGAAGGAGACGGAGGAGAGCCTGACTTCCTCTCCTCTGCTGCAGATGATGTATAAAGTAGATGTCTATGAAGCTTTTAACTGGTTGATGTTTCTGTGAATAATTGCAAATTTATTTACATTGAAGTTTCTCTGATCAACACTTTGTTGTTTCTGCTGCAGGTAGACGACATGCCTTCCAACACAGACAACGATTGCATCACTGACATCACTGTTTATATAGAAGAGGGTGACCCAACTAAAGTAAAAATGAAAGAACAGAAATTATCTAAAGATGGCTTTATCCAGATCCCCGTCAATCTGACCAAAAGAGCCGATGGTTATAAAATGTACATGTGGTACAAAAAGGGAAATGATAAACCAATCACCAACATCCAGTTCAGCTTCAGTGATGATATGAATAAAGGCCTGAAGGAAGCAGGGTACAAAAAAGTTGAGGCAAATCTAAATTACAAAACCGGTGGAGATCCTCTCCATCTCTGGTACAAACGTGGTCCTTCAAAGGGAGAATCTCCCATTACCGACCTCTTTGTCACCACAGAGCAACAAGCAGCTCCCCAGCTGTATCAGCTGGGCTGGGATAGGCTCGCCTGCAACATGAAGAGGGGAACTTCAGCAAGTCGGATCTTCCTGTGGGTGAAGAGAAGAGAACAAACCTACATCTCTGAGATTAGAGCTACAGCTGGCTTCCAAGATGACGCTAACCAGTTTCAGGATGGGTTCTTCAGAGTGGATGAAAACACCAACGAGGGTGCTGGAGGAGACAAAGTATTCCTCTGGTACAAACTGACCACTAATCCTGACGAAGCTCTCGCAGATCTATCAGTCTCTGTGAGTGAAGCGGAGGGGAAGAACCTGACGGAGCAAGGTTTTCAAAAAGTTTCACAGGATCTGAATGCGGGGACCGGAGGAAGCCCGATAAATGTGTGGTACCAGAAGAAAAATGGATCCAAGCCCATCAAGACCTTCACTCTGATTGACGGGCCCCTTTACAAGCTGCCATGTCAGAGGGCGGGGCTCCAGGTCATTGACAAAAATCTCAATGAAGGCAATACAGGAGCTTTTCAGTACCTGTGTTTCTATCAGTGAGCGTCAGCACAGAAGCCAGCGGCCCTGAGGAGGAAAAGAAATTGTTTCATTGCTTTGGTGGTGGTTCTATTGGTCGGGGAAAGAGTTTAAACTCAAATCTCTCCTTTTATTATTGATTCTGGAGTCATTTAAACCAGATTTTCTTTCTTTCCTGTAACCCTCATGTTTTAAAGAATAATAAACATCTATCATGCATCTGAAAAACTGTCCTTCATTCATTTAACCTCTTGTTTTAAACTCACTTGTTTTATTTATATGTTTAAAAGAACCACGGCAAATAAATAATATATTAATAACATAAATATCAAACGCAGTCAATTGAACCAATCAAACCCTTCCCTGAAAAATAAATCTAAAATGCTCATTTAAAAACTATTTTCACAGTATCTTTTTATGGTATAAATCAGATAAAATAGTTTTTTTAACTGACAACCTGCTGTTTAAACAAAGATGGAGGAACATTCTTGGTTTGAACAGCTGAATATTTAGAAAATCTTCAATTCTGTCCATAAACGTACTAAAACCAATCAGTAAATCTACTTTCAAATATCTTTACAGACTAAAGTAAATGATCACTTTGTGCTTCAGCTTCACAATAAGTTGCTAATAGAACAATGTGCCTCTGAACAGCAGCGTTCTGTTTCCACATGAAGGAAAAGTACAGAATAGGAGGAATACGATAAAATGTCCTATAAACAGGACAGGTGTGTCACCTGTGAGTGGATCACAGAGGAGACAGGTGGACACGATGATGCTGGAGCTCGTTTATTCACAAGCTGCACGACCAGGACCAGAAAACTGTTTCCATAGTAACGCCCCCCCTGTTAGAACCACAGCAGCTCTGTATTAGAGCCTCTAAAATGAACAATATATAAAAAATGACAAAAGTCAAGGTTGGACTAAAAACCGGAGGAATAAAGTCTCAAAGTTTTATTTTGCTATTTTCCAACCCACTAAAAATATGAACTTTTCTTTTACTTCTGACTAAATCATTCATCCCCTTCCAGGAAGAACAAGTTCATGAAAGCTTTCTCCGTTCATTGTTGTTATAATAAACATCCAGTTGTTCATGTTATGCATTTAATCAGGCTTAGATTGATCTTGGATTTTGCCACATAGCTAGTTGGGAAGCGGCATATGCCAGTTTCAGCAAAGGTCCCACATAGGAGCTTAATATCCTAACCTGGTTTTAATAACAATATAAATGTAATGTTTATGTCTTTAGGTGTAAATGCGTCTATGTGTTGAAAACAACAGTAAACAGTCACTCCACCAAATCTTGTTCTTGTTTTTGCTTTGAGAATGTGACTAAATGTTCAGAAAACGCAGCATACTGTCAGTATTACAATGTGAAATAGATAGTGTGATCTGCTAAGCATTAGCCTAGCCACCATGTTTAACCTTGTCTCTGGTTGCAAACAACAGGAGATCAGCCCCCCCCCACCCCCCCGTGCAGATATTTTCATAGATTTGGATTTTAATTAACAATAACAAAGAAAATCTTCACATTAAAAAGCTGTTGTTGATATACAGAAAACAGCCACTTTATTAAGACATACGCCAGTTTGAAGCAGGGGTGTTGCTAGGCACCAAGCTATACTGGGGCACTGGCCCCCTACCACATATGCCCCCCCTTCCATACATAAATACAGACACGCACACTGCCCCACCCTGATACATTCCTACCAAAATTACCAGGTGAGATATTAGTAAGGATAAGAGCATATTTGTTTTAACAAACATTTTCAACATTGCAGCTATAAAAAATAAGACATCAACTTTAAAAATAAAAAGTTTCCTTATAAACATTCTGAAGTAATCATTAATTCCTAGGTTTCAGAGTTTTAGTTCAGGGGAAATTTTAACTCATCCTGAACTAAGTTTTCTTTTATTTTATGAGCATTAAAGTGTACCTCCTATTTTTCATTTTTGCAAAGCGGTCAATCACTAGACTGTGACTCAGCTTAGAAAGTTCTTCCTTTTCAACTGATAAAATAGCAAGATAGTTGGAGCCCGTCTTGTCCCCCAGTGCACCTCAGCCCAGTGTGGATCCTTCTCAACACACTGAATGACCTTTCACAACTCCAGCTGTAGACTGGGATTGTGAAGGAGATCTG